GGACCTTTAAGCTGTATCTTCTCTAGGCCAAACATTGGGTTCCCTCAATTGTCCCTCCTTTGACATTTCTGCGTTCCTCACCAAATCCCCTTATCTGCTTCAGGGTAACAGGCTTAAGTTCAACAGTTAACTCCAGATACTTTTTTTTTAAAATTGAATTTATTGGGGTGACATTAGTTCACAAAACCATATAGGTTTCAAGTGTATAACTCAATGCAGTATGAATCCATCCCCCCAAGCAAAGTCTCTTTCCATTTCCATTTTCCCCTCCTTTGCCCACCTCTACACGGCCCTTCAGCCTTTTTCTCTCTGGCTATCACCACACTGTTGTCTGTGTCTATGTGTTATATATATAAATATATGGGGTTATTTTTGCTTAATCCCTTCACCTTCTCTCATCCAATTCCCCAACTCCAGGTACTTTTAAAAAATAAATATATTCTTATTGATTTCAAAGAGAGGAAAAGAGAGGGAGAGAAAGAAACATCAATTATAAGAGAGTCATTGATTGGCTGCCTCCTGCACGGCACCTGCTGTGGATCAAGCCTGCAACCCAGGTATGTGCCCTGACCAGGAATCCAACCGTGATCTCCTGGATCCTAGGTCAATGCTCAACCGCTGAGCCACGTCAGCTGGGCCAGATACTTTTTATGTAGACTACTACCAAACTGAATCTGTTCAATCTATACATTTGATCTTTGAGCATAAATGTGAGAATTTACATTTAACCTTATTAAATGACCTCTGCTGTTCTTTTTAAATGCTTATTTTTTGTATAATTAATATTAACCTGTTTAGGTTACACTATATGCAAATATGATAAGCAGATTTTCTTATTCAAGTTATTCATAAAAAATGTTAGGCAAGGAAAGACTCCCTCAGGAACAAGTGTTGCTGGGCACCAAGTGTAGTAGGCAGTTAGGCAGGAGCAGAGAAAGGACAGTGGGCCAGGTATGGAAGGTCACCAGGGTGGAAAGTCCTGGGTGCCTAGCAATGGACAATTGTAGGGTGGGGCCTTGCTCCCAGGGTGACCTTTCCTTCCCTACCATGTCACTAGTCATACGATAGACCCCCTTGGAGGAGGAACAAGGGGGCTGGAGAAGAACCTTATATGACTCCTATACAAGCCCTTGCATGACCTCTCCCTTAAGCATTAAGTCCTCAGGACAATGAGGTTCTGGCCAGCATCAAATAATCTTGGGAACAAAGCTTCAGGTATGTTGACAACAGAGACAGAGTTTTGATCCTATTAGAGATAACATCTAGGCCTCAGTTGTGTTCCAGCTCCAGGTCCAGAAAAGCTGCAAGGCCAGGTGGGGTGATGCCATGGCTGACATCAGACCAGCTATGATGACTAATGACCCCCTGCCCTGGTGCCAACCAATCTGTAGAGACTGAGACTCTGAAAGTATACACCTGGAAAGCTGATGAATATTCTAGGGGACCTCCCCTAAAATCCCTGTCTTTAAAGAGGAGGCTTAAAACCCTCAAGATATAGGATAGGACCCAGCCTGAGCCTTTCCCTACCCCTTTTTTCCCCCAGAGCCACTTCCTTTCTCTGGAGCTCTCACAAGCCTCCCTCCCCCACCCCATGCGTCTTCTCTGCTTTTCTTTTTCCTAAGCTCCAAGGGCCCTCTTTTGCCTCTGTAACTTGTTTCCTAAGCCCATACAGCCCAGCTGGCTCACTTGTTCCACAGCTCACTTCTACTTCTGTGACTTTCTAAATAAAGTTTTGCTTGTATTTGAGTCTTGGCTCTGAATTCTTTCTTAGCCAGAACTCAAGTACTGATGTTGCTGAACCGAGGTCCAATTGCCAGTAACACTCTGGTGCTGTTTTGCTGCTAACATAAATGTGTATGCTATGAATTCATAGGCCTGGGCTACAACCCATCCAGTCTGTGAGCCCAAGTCTTGGCCACAAGGTTTTTACGAATGGCTCTGTTAGAGGCTGTGCTGAATTTATGTTTTAATTGGTAATAGTACAAGTTTCTGATCCTGAGAGGTACAAGAGAAAAGAAAAGCATGTTTTCTTTTTCTTTCTTGGAAAGAGGTCAAGTGTGGCTCTCAGCATCTTACTGCCTTCTTTTGTGCTAGTTCCTGGTACTGGTCTCCTCAGTTCTTCACTGTGCCACCAACCCTGGACAGGCAGATCACACTCCTCTCATCTACCTCTCATGCATTCTCCCCTCTTCCCTCCTCCTTTTCCCTCAGTGGATCAATCTCACACAAGTATTAGGAGCTCAGCAACTAGATAAAATTAATCAACATGTAAGTGGCAGATTACCATTTAACTGTTTTACAAGTATTTGCATTATCAAAGAAAGGTGTTAATCATAATCATTTCATCATTAGGAAAATTTCAAGGAATATAACATTGATAAGGAAAAAATTCTGGCCTCTTGAGAGATGTCTTAATAGGAAAACACCTGCCACAGCTCAGGTTTGGCTAGGAGTAAACTTCCACGGTCAGTTCCACCAAGTTGGTCGCACACTCAGAGCTGCTTTTTTTTTTTTAATTTTTGAATCCTTGAACAATATAAGTTCTAATCTCCCCCTATTCTACCGCCAACCAATGGCATCCATGAGGGTAACAAAAGTAATTCTTAACAGGCTCTGGGGAATGGGAGTAATTCTAACTTTTTACTTTATAAACTTCCGTGCTTGTTGACTTTTTAAAGCACAATGAGCAGATAGTACTTAGATGGTGGAAAAAAAAAAAAAGGTTTAGAAAAAGTAACGTTAAAGTAGAATTATCCATTCACTTCCTCAAGGACTCTTTCCAAACCCTTTCTATCCTTAGTAAGAACTAGAGAATTTCAGAAATTTAAATAATAATGCCAATAACAACAATACTAATAACACCAATACCAATACCACCACACCCACAACCTTGTATCTTAATTTAAATCATCCATCTGAACGCATCCCTTTCTGGGACACTTCTACAAGTAAACACAGTTTATATATGTTTAAAATCTAAACATTTTTCAAATCTGATGGATAGCAAAGTTCTAAAATTATATTTATAATAGATTTTTTTTCTCTTTCTCTAGTCTTGGCTACCAGTGGCTTAATTATGTTAGACCTTGTTTGAGCTATTTCCTCATACTGGGCACTTACTTTTATGCTTTGGGTAGATAACATCAAAACCAGGCAACGGCATTACCACATCATGGATGGAGTAATTATTAACATCTTCTTCCTCAATGTAGATGGCTGAGGCTACAAATTAACAAGTGAATAAATTAAGAAAATAGGCAATATTTCATGAGCTCAATCTTCTAAAATTATACACATCTAAGCAGTTAGAAGTCAAGATGATACAGTTCTGTGGCCTACAAAGCTTGAAGAAATTAAGTTGGAATATATACCTTTCTCTTTTTCTACTCTAGCCAAAAAATAAAAATCATAGACTTAGAAAAAGTACAAAGTTAAAACTTTTATTTCTCAGCTGCACTTTCATTTTTTGGGAATGCTTGCTTTTAACAATCAGCTCCTTTTCCTTATTAAACAACACTACAAAATACCATTTGGAAAGCTATCACAAATTAATGCATTTTGCTAAAAGAATGAACAATTAAAAAAACCAGTTTGTTGTTAGAGGATAAAATACAGTGGCTCACAGGATATTAAAACACACTGATATAGCCCCTGGCCAGTGTGGCTCAGTTGGTTTGGCATCATCCCTTGCACCAAAAGGTAACTGGTTCGATTCCTGGTCATGGCATATGCCCAGGTTGTGGGCTCGATCCCCAGTAGGGGGCGTGCAGGAGGCAGCCAACTGATGTTTCTCTTTCACATCGATGTTTCCTCTTTCTCCCTTCCTCTCTAAAATCAATGAAACATATTTTTAAAAAGTTTTAAAAAATACACTAATATGATCAATATTAGGGAGGAAAAAATAAAATTTTAAACAAAATTCACTTTTTTTTACATTGAAATAAACTATACAAAATTGACTTTCTTCACCAAAAATAACAGCAATGTTTTCTATATTATTCCTAGATAACCACAAAGCACCTTTCTGTAGGTTTCCAGGTTTCACAAATCAAGATGATGCAGTACATATAGTCATGGAAAAAGACAGAATAAAGCAGCCAAGTCAATTGTCAGTATCCATGGCCTCTGATCCTGCCTTGACCACGAAAGAGAAGTGTTCAACATATACCTGTTAGAAACCTTATAAAGATACAGGCTCAATAAAGGAATGTAAACAGCAATAACGAGATGTGAAACAATGATAGGTTCTCCCATTCAATCTTTAACTGTAACTAGTTCCTTTAAGATCATCGAATAAAGACGAAATCTATACTGGAATCCTTGTTTGGCAAGCTCAGATGTTTCACTGTCTGGTAATTCCCTTAACTTTCCATTATAGATTTTTAGTAGCATATTTAAAACTCCTGCTATTCAAATGTTAGTTGTGAGCTTCATTTTATGACTTTTTTTTTTAATCCTCACCCGAGGATATTTTTTCCATTGCTTTTCAGAGGGGGGGAGAGAGAGAGAGAAACATCGATGTGAGAGAGACATATAGATTGGTTGCCTCTTGTACCTGCCCTGACCAGGGCCAGGGCTTGAGCCTGCAACTGAGGTACATGCCCTTGACCAGAACCGAACCCAAGACCCTTTAGTCCACAGGGTGATACTCTAGCCACTGAGCAAAAATCAGCCAGGGCTATAGTAAGATTTTATAAAATGTATTCCTTTCTGTCACACCTCCTGAAAATTTATTTCTTCAAAGTACTGATAACTCAACACCTGACAACTGGATCCACAGTAATAATAAATATTATTATTACTTAAATAATAACTAATTACTTAAATAATACTTAATAATAATTATTATTAGTTAAAATTACTTAACTAGCTCTGGTTGGGTGACTCAGTTGGTTGGACCATTGTCATGTATACTGGAAGGTTGCCAGTCAATTTTGGGTCAGGGCACATACCTACGTTGCAGGCTTGATCCCCAGTTGGGGTGAGTGTGGGAGGCAACCAATCGATGTTTCCCTCTCAAATCAATAAAAACATACTCTCAGGTGAGGATTAAAAAAATAAAACAACAACTAAAACAATTCCAAAGTGCCACTAGCAGAGATCATGCAGAAGGGTAACAGGGCACTTTCAATGCTACCTTCTGGAGGAACAGTGTTCCAAAGCATAAGAGGTCAAACAGGGGCCATTTAAACAGGCAGATTATCAATGGCTAATGTACTCAAGATATTCAGTGATTAACTGGCCTACATATACCTTATAGCTTTTCTGTGAGATGTTTTCAAATTTCTCACAAATTTTTTAAAATATCAAATATAAGAGAAAGCTTATTTTAAAAGTCTTTCAGGTATTTTTGATGGTTTCTGAATTATCTGTAGGAAGCTCTGACTTAGCTGTATAGTTGGACATTTGTGTCCACCATTAAATCCAAATCCTGTTTTATATCAAAATTTATGTTCAGCAAAGTTAGGTTACTTGACACTTGTTACTTGGTCTGTCAAAGTGTTTTTCAGGTATGCTTTGAGAAACTTTTGCCCATTTCCATAGCATTCATTCTCAAACTTCATCACAGGAAGAATACATAGGATCTTCAGCAGTGCATAAACATTAGGAAAAACTTGATGTGCGACAGGTGGAGGTCTTAATAAATGGTGGATGGAAGCTCTGTATCTTTCCCTCTGTGTTTCCACTTGATTCTCCAACAATGCAACTCAGCTGAGAGTGTATCAGGACTGGGTAAGTTGCTTCTGTACATGTCAGCATGGTGCTCTTCCAATGTACTGAATTTGAGCTGTGCCATGACAGAGGATACCAGAGATCAGCCTTGAAGAGCTCTGAAGTGCTGTTCTGAGAATATATCTTTCAGTTCCTGAATAATGTATTCCATTGTTGGAACACTTAGGGGTTCTTTATAGTAACTCTCAGAGGTCAGCTGAGATTCCGGGTTCCCTTGCTGAGCTCTGCGGAATTTCCCAGGGAGTTTCACCTGAATATCAAGTTTGGTTGTCAAACTGGTGGCTTCCTCAAACCAAAATTCATGATAAACTTCAATATTTTCCATCATTTCATTTAGTGAATTCAGCACTGCAGTCAAGCTATTGGCTGCAAAGAAGACACCAGAAGTTTAGACCCTAGAGATTTTCCCCAAAGGCTCTTGTAAAAGGTAGAACATTTTAAAGAATTACAATGGTAACAATGAAATCAAAATCTGTTTCTGCACTGCAGAGTACAAATGCTTGGCTGGCTATACAATCATTCTCTCATTTGTGTCACTATCTATACCATCTAAACATAAAGTAGGAGGTCCACTAAAATTTCACAAGTATCATGCCTGCCTGTCCACTGAGAATGGCAAATTTCCTTCAGTTCTTTACCCTCCTTGTCAGTGCTCTGAAAGAGGACAGAGATTACACTGTCAAGCCAAGCTCTAAAAGCAGTTGTGGTGATCGATGGAAAAATGAACAAACTTCCTCAGTTGTTCCTAATGCAACAGATACTCCCATAACAGGCACTGATTTTGCCAACCACATGTTGAAGGCACAGGAAGAGCACAATGTGTAAACAGCTTAGGGATATTTCTCTAAAGGTCAAGAAGCAACAATTTTCATTTTGGAAGAAAACCCATTGAACACAATGTAAGCCTGGCCAGGACAATACTCTATGTTTAATCCCACTTCTCAGTTATCATAGAGTGAAATTTCATTGCAAAAATTTCGGCACTAGCTTTGTAAGGCAGGAAGCCCACAAATTCCTCTCAGGTTATGAGATTCGTCAACAAACTTCACCAACACGGACAGGTGATCTTCCCCTGCTATGTCCACTACGTCATCAGTGATAACAGAAAAGACGTGTCTCATTTCCCTGAGGGTTTCTTCCCGAATGGAGCTCTCACAGATCTCTAGCACCAGTTTCTTCTGTGTTTTTGAACAGAACAATATGTTGACTGCTGTCGTCTCAAAGCGCTTTCTCAGAACCCGTTCACCAGACTATGGCACTCCAGCAGTGCTTGTAAGTTATCAGGAGTAGAGAGACCTGGGATTTCATCAGCTTCATGTCCATCCAGAGGTCTGTTTTGTTTTCCCATAAGAATCAAAATTTCAACTAAACATTTTAAGTATTCTGTGTTTTCCTTGTCTTTAAGCGTTAAAGAGAAAATGTCTTCTTCCTGTTCACCCTCTTCTTCCGCACTGGGATTCTGAGCATTGCTGTTATTTCTTTATGCTTTTGTTCCTGTTCAGAAGTTTTGTTGACAATTCTCTTATTCATTTTCTGTGTCTACTATGTGGATTGTTCAAATGACTGATAAGATCAAATATTGTTGGTATTGCATTATCTAGAAGAACTGTCGTATAAGGACTAGTTCTACAGATCATAGAGGTGTCAAAGTGTTTGGTACATAATTGGTAAAGTTTACTTAATTGAGCAGATGCTTTATATTCTAAGTGTGCTCTCCTACAATTTTCTACCCACTTCTGGCATCTGGCTGGATCCCTTGGGAAACTGAAGAAGGCCAGGTCTGACTACAGAAGTTTGGCATTGTCGTCTGCTCTCGGGCAAGCCCAGAGCTCCCTTCCCCACTTCCTCAGGACAGCCCACCCGCCCTATCGAGGCTAGCTAAGCAGGGCTAGCGCACTGGGGGTTAAAAATACTAAATCAGGAAAAAATAACTCAGTGGATTCATCAGGCACATCTTCAGAGGAGCAGGTGTCTTCAGATAAGAGAGGGCAGCCGGGTATGTCAGAAGAACATGGACTTTAGAAACAGACAGACTTGTGCTGAATCCTAGCCTTTTCTTTTTTTAACCACCTGTGGAATCTTGGGCAAGTGACTGAACCTCATCTGAAGAAGAGAGACTACTTGGCGGTAATACTGTGAGCTTTAAACTAGAAGACACAGGTGAAGGGTTTAGCAAAAGGACTGTACACAGTAATGGCTCAATAGTAGATGGGATTGTCTGGGTGTCTGAGGAACATATCGGGCACAGAGTGTGCACAAAATGTCCATTAGATCATGGCCCTTATGTAAAATGAGCTCCAGTCTGGAGTTAAGAAACTCCTTAAAACTGGCTGACAAGCAGCCCTGGCTGGGTGGTTCAGTTGGTTGGAGCCTCATCCTGTGCACCGAAGGGTAGAGGGTTCGATTCCCAGTGCACATACCCAGGTTGCGGGTTTGATCCTGGTCAGAGTATGTATGAAGCAACCGATCAATATTTCTCTCACACACTGACAATTTTCTCTCTCTCTACCTCCCTTCTTCTCTCTCTAAAATCAATTTAAAAAACCAAAAAATCTGGCCGATAACAGCTCAGAGGCTGAAGTCCATCCAAAAATGCAGAGAAGTATTTGTTAGACTCCAATTAAAGCTTGCAATTAAACCTTGGAGAGCGATTTTACGTAACATTTTGTCCAAATCTTATTCCAGCCAAGAAAATGGAGTCAGGTACTTACTCAAGTCAGAGGTACATTTTTCATTAAAGATACACATCCAGACTAACTAGTCAGTCTGAGCTTACAATGTCCTTCCATTTCAAACTTACTAGACATTTCTCTCTCTTAACTAGTAGTCAGGTTGAATTTTAAGCATGGGTATCACATAACTGGACCCTAGTTTAATTGAATAATGACAGTTATCTGCCTTTTTACCTCCTTTGAGAACTAGGTCCCCTGGAACAGGTTTCAATCCATACTCTTCTATCCTCTTGCTCACCATGTTGTTCCACACATAGCTTTGATAGCTATGAATATACATTAAGCGATTATTTCTAGGAATCTGAAGGGGAAAAAAACAGGCAAGAAAAGTAATATAAATTAAAAGAAATATTAAAAGTACAGTACTCTCCAAGACATTTCACTTTAGTGGTGACCCTAGTATAAGAAACTCATACCTTAAACTTCCAATAGCAACCAGTGTTAGAGACAGAACCCCTCACACTCCAGGGCATTCACAATCGGCTGCAGCTGCAACAGTGCCTGTGTGTATCCACAGTGCAAACATTCATACAGATAAAGCAAATGCTACAGAATTTATGCCCTCTGTCAATGACACAGATTTCAAATCCAAGGAATTTATATGTCAGTTATAGAGCTAACAGTGCTTTCTCTCCCATAATTTTATGTAGGGAGAAAACCTAAATGATTGAATTAACAACTACTTTCACGAAGAATCCCGCTTTTCTGGGTACATTCTGGGAAAGAGTAAATAAGACTCAGGTTTAAGAGTTAAACTTTAGTCTGTTCTGGATTACAGATATACAAATACTAGTATAGGCTACATAAGAGTGGGTACCAATTGTACCACCATGAAGAAACTAAACCGAAATGTAATTACTTAAACCGCTACTGTGCAACCCTCTTAACTGATGCTGGAGAATGGCCAAGAAATGAACTCAATGATAAATTCTGAGTTTCTCAAACAGCAAGACAGTTAATTTAAATTAAATTTCCCCCTAGATAATATTTTCCACATTACTGCTTTTCTCATGCCCTCAATGTTAATTATTATGCTGACACTGCTGGCATCCACTACCCGCCCCATGACCATTTAGGGTCTGAATAAAAACCACTCAGGTAATACACCCCTCAGAGATCACCAAAGGATCCTCGTTTACCTTTGTTCTTTCCAAATTTAGTAAAATGTTTAAAAATAAAATTTAAAAAGCATTAAACCACCTTGAGTCATTTGCCTGACTTTACAAATTGCACTCACTATGCCAAATGCAGAGACTATATTCTTCATTCCATATTTTGAAAGTCCTCGAAGCAGCTGCCCTTCCACACACCTTTTGACAGGTAGTTTTCTGAGGGCAGCGGCTGGGTCTTTGGTCTTCGCCCATTCTTCTCTGCATTTAACCAAGTACCCCTTTTCAGCTAGAAGAGGGAAAAAAGCTATGATTAAACAATTTATCCCATAAAAAGATTTGCATAACTTAAAATGCTTCATAAAGAACACAAATTAGAAAATGCGATTTGTAAAACCTTCTGCTAACCTGAGAATAACCATCAGAAAGTAAAAGGATGGGAAATGGAGAAAGTTTACAGAACTAGACGGCTTTTGATGACCTCAGTATGTAAAGCCAGTTACTATTCATGATCACAGCTGATTCGACATCCCACGAAACCTTGGAGTTCCTTTCTTCCTTCTCCTTTAATACATTACTGTCAGATTTAATGCATTAAAGTATTCCCTTAAAATTAGATAATTTTATCGCTTTTTAATTTGTCAATGAATGATTACCCAAAGTGGGCATAATCATTTTGATTATTTGTAAAATCATACAGAATGATTTTAGAAACATTTCTGGAGAGTTTTAGTGAACTTTTCAAACTAAAGATCTCCAATGTGTTTTTGCCATATTTTTACATTCTATTACACTATGTTTTTAAAAATTAACCATAAGTGAAATGTGTGGGTTCCTATGTGTTCAGAGATTCAGTAGTGCATGGAGAAAAGGAAATGAACGTATTCATTTATGAATTAATAAATTAGATGAGCTGAATAAAGAGCTAAAAACAGCATATAAATGATCAATCTCAAATGTATACAGAAACCTTATAAAAAAAGAGATAAACTATATACTTTTTATTTTACTGAAAAAACCCACAATTTTTTAAATTCTGAAATAACTACTCTAATTTTTATACATACTTTTATTCATAGCAATTTCATGAATATCTAGCCATATATCCAATTTTTTTCATACCAGGAATTTTATTCTCACCTCCAGAACGGGGTTTCAATATTAAATCCATGACTTCAGCCCAGGAATTTTGTAGTATAGCTCTAAAATTAAACAACATTTAATTTAGTTAATTTCACATTAAGATGAATTTGATGTGTTCAAATCTGTGGAGTGAACAAATAATATTAACTTTATATATTTTACTAAACTTAAAAGTAAACTGAAAAACTAATATGATACAGATTTCAAATGTAAATGCCAAAATAACTTAAAAAACAGAGAGAATGCCCAGCTGGCATGGCTCAGTGGTTGAGCATCGACCTAGGATCCAGTAAACTGAGGTTCGATTCCTGGTCAGGACACATGCCTGGGTTTCAGGCTTGATCCCCAGTGGGGAGCATGCAGAAGGCAGTTGATCAATGACTCTCTCATCATTGATGTTTCTCTCTCTCTCTCTCTCCCCCTTCTTCTCTCTGAAATCAATAAAAATATATTTTTTAAAAAACCCAGAGAGAAGATCTTGTTCTACCCAGATCGAGCACCACCCTTTATAGTGAAGTCAAACTCCTCAAGCCAAGTAGCTGAAGCTGTTTTATCACAACAAAGGTCCAGTTTGTTCCATGAGTATGTATCTTGTTTCTTCAGTTAAAGCCTTCAGAGACACATAATAAATTTGGACCAGGGGATTTTTGTTATTAAAACGAAAACAACAACAAAAAAACACGAGAAAGGAAAAAACAATGTTTACTCATAACATTTAATATCATCTCAGTTTTAAAATTCTACTAATTTTATTAAAAGCTATAAATACTAGTCATGCTTTAAGTTGCCATACATAGTATTACCTGTATAAATAAGTCTTTAGGTACCAACACTTATTTGAAGCTTCTCAAAAAAATCTCTCCCCATGTTTTTAAAAACCTTCTTGCCTAGTTAAACAGATAGAATACAGTTTATCCTTCATTATTCTTGCCAAAACGGAAAAAAATCTTTATTTTTGCTGATTGTAAGTTATACATGCTTCTTATAAATTAAATAGTAGGTAGGAAGGTAACTGTTATCTAACCTCTAAGAAATTAAACAGTTAACACTTTAGAGTGTATTTTTCAAAACTTTTTTAATGCACCTATAAGTGTATGCAATTTTCCTTTAACCTCTATTATACTATCTTTTGCCATACACACATTACATTTGGTGTATTATGCCTGAAAATTTTTTTCAGGAAACACTTCTAGTTTTGGAGTCATCCTTAGTAAGGCCTTCACTAACAAAAGAATACAGAATCCCTATTAATTTTTGTTTTTTCCATTTAATTTTTATTTTTCACACTTAAGTTCATCTATATGGGATACTTTGTATATTAAATTGTATGACATCCTGTTTAGTATCTACGATGAGATCATATGGATTTTAAATCTACTAATACAGCAACAAATTCCATTAATAGATTTCCTATTGATGGCTATCCTTGAAGTCCTGAAACAAGCCATGGTAGATCCATCTTTAAATGCACTCCTCGGTGACACATTATTTAGCTGGCTAGGTCTTTAGCAACACTTCCAAAAAGAGTACAGTATGAACTCAGGACTAGCCACTGGTCTGCCAGATATCATGGAAAAAGACTTCTATGTTCAAAAAGCTTTGTTATCTAGCTAGCCACTTCATTTTGTAAATAGTTTATTGGAAAACAGCTGTGTTCATATATTTACATAATGTGTATGGATGCTTTTGCACTGCAACAGCAGAGCTGAGTATAGCAGGTCTCCAAACAACATCATTTCATTTCACTGTCTGTGTGGAGTTGGCATGTCCTGCTCCATGTCTACATGCGTTTTCTCTTGGTCTTCCAGTTTCCTCCCACATCCCAAGGTGTGCACATTGGATTACTTGGCATTTCTACATTGTCCAGGGTGAGTGTGGGTGTGGCTGTACCCAGTGATGAAAGGGCATCCTATCCACAGTGGGTGCCCGCTTGGGGCCTGAGCTGCTGTGAGATACTCCAGCCACCCTGGACCCTAAACTGAAATAAGCAGACTGGAAAATCATTATCTGATTTGCTTTCATTTTTCTTAAATGTATATATAGCTCACATTGATTTCAATGTTTCATATTACAATTGTTTTGGGTCTTTATTTAGAATTTTGGTGTTTTTGTGACTAGAAATATGCTGTAGGAACATTTTATACCAATTAGCCTTTGGTCAAATTAGTTTCATAAGACATCATTTCATTTAAGACACAAACCAGAGAAACAAGAGGTGGCGCAGGTGCAGCTGCACCCGCCGCCTCCCGCAACCACATCAAAACTACAACTAAAATACAGAGCCACCATCACTCAGAGCCTCCTGAAATGTGGATGAACAGAAGCCCTACAACCAGGGAACTGAAGGAGCACCGAGACCGGTAGGAGGGGCGGAGACGCGGGCGGATCGGGGCTGAATCTCAGAGACCCGGCCGTGGGCCCACACCCAGTGCCGCGGTTTAAACCCAGGAGGGATTCTCGGCGGTGGGGGTTTCCTGGAGGAGTTAGGGGTCCCAGCCCCACATCGGGCCCCCAGCCCAGGGCTCCAGGGCCAGGAAGAGACGTCCCCACAACTTCGCGCTGTGAAACCAGCGGGGACTGTCGCTGAAGGTCTCCGAGGGTGCGGGAGTCCCAGCAGCTCCTCTTCAAGAGCCCGGGCATGGACTCACTCAGACGGGTTCCCTCTGATCCCCAGCACCCGGCAGCAGCTTGAAAGGACCTGGAACACTTGGAGAGAAACTAACCTGCCTGAAATCTAGGCAAGAGGTGGAGGGGCAGCTTCCTCCCAGGCAGAAGAGCTGACAAAGGCCACTGCTCCTTTGGCGAGTCCTCCCCACACAGCCAGCAGGCAGGCACCATATTTGAACCACCAGCACCTGACTCACACCGTTGGCTCCACCCCATGATTCCCAGAGGCCCTGCCCCTTCCTACCTGCAAGCTCATTCAAGCCATTTCTAGTGGCTTTTCTGTGCAAGTGGCCTCTCGAGCCTCATGCTTAGGACTTTCCTAAAATCTCTCAAACAAGCAGCAGCATGCCCCATACAGCTTGATAAGAGGCCCCAGGCCTGGCACTAGTGGCAGCCTGCATTGGTTCATAGCTTGGCCTCTCCTGGACACCTCCAAGCCCAGCACAAGTACCAGCCAACTATGGTTTGCTGTGTAGCTCATGTTGGGTGGCCCTGGGCAAGGCACTGGCAGAGGCTGACTTTGCACCTCCCAGGAGGCCCCAGAGACAGTGCACCTGGTGGTCAGACTTGACCACTCTGGATTACAACCCTACCACATCCACGAGTGACACAATCAAGGGGTACACTTGGTGAACACCAAAGCTCCACTGAAGTAATTCCTGCTCCATAGGAGTGTCTCCAGCAAAGCAGCTCTTTGGCTGTAGTTGCAGCAGGTCCTCACAGCTGATTGGTCTGGGGGTCAGTTCCTCCCAGTGACACCAACAGCAACCAAGGCTCAACTACAACAGGACAGTGAACACAGCTAACACAGGGGAGCTCCTAGAAGGCCCAGCTCACATGACTGGGGAGGCTGAGCCACGGGACCCTACAGGACACCTACTATACAAAGCCACTCTACAAATTCCAGGAGACATAGCAGCTCTACCTAATACAGAGAAACAAATACCTGGAAGCAGCCAAAATGTGGAGGCAAAGAAACATGTCACAAAGGAAAGAACAGAAGAAATCTCTAGAAAAGGAACTAAATAGATCCAAGCAAGCTAACAGATATAGAGTTCAGAATAATAGAATAATAAGAGTATAACAAAAATAACTGAGAAAATCGACATAATAAAGGACCAATTTGAAATGAAGGCTACAGGAATTGAAATGAAGAATAATTTAAGAAGAAGCTAATGAACAAAAGAATCTAAGGAACTAAACAGATCCAGAGACATTGACGCATGCAACAGACGATCATATTTCAGAGGAAAGAGGGAAGGGGGGTAGAGGGTGGGAAGAGATTAACCAAAGAAGGTATATGCATATATGAATAACCCATGGACACAATCAATAATGGGGTGAAGGCCTGGGGAGGGGGTGGGAATGAGGTGGAGGGGGTTAATTGGGGGGGAAAAATGGGACACCTGTAATACTTTCAACAATAAAGATTAAAAAAATAAAAAATAAAATCACAGTTTCCAAGAAACTACTGATATTACATGAGAACTTACTGTAGCTGCTACAAATACTCTATGGGCCACAAAGCTTAACATATTTACTATCTAGTCCTTTAAAGAAAAAGTTTTCCAAGACCTTGTATAATATACTAAAAAGTTTACCTACAGGACTCTCAACATCTTTAAGATGCTACCATTCATGTTAAGGTTTAGTTTACATTGCCTTATTAGGTATGTATATGTTTGGTTTACAATAGGCCATCCTATCTGGCTCATTATACATAAAGATTTTTTTTCCTTCTATGTTATCGTTCCTTCTTTCACCTTTTTTTTTTTTTTTTTTTTTTTTTTTAAAA